TAAAGGCCCATTTGCTACAACTCCCACCTTAATCTCCATGAACTAGTGTCCCTGGATTGCCTCACCTAACTCCAACATGTCTGCAATTTCCATGATCACTTTAATGCTTTTTCTATGTGTATGACAAACTCCTACTCAAACATTGAGATCCTGCTCAAATATCTCTTCTACTTTTATTGCCTCTTTCTTACCCAACACTTAATGAATATAACGTGAAGTAATGGAAAGGGCAGACATTCTTCTGTCAAAATGGTTTGAATTTAAACCTGAATCTTGCACCCACTACTAACTAACCTACTACTAACTTAGATAAGTCAGTTAATCTTCCTGAGGCTCAGTCCTGATTTTTAAATAAAAACTGTTAATCACTTACATTTATGGAATCATCAGTGATATGTATTGCTATTGTTTGCCTGCCTATATTTGTTTTTGAGAGTTCACTGAGATGAAAGACCTTGTCTTTCTGTTTCCTGGCCCACAAGACATCCAGCACAGAGCATGGTGTTTTACAGCACTCAATGTTCTTTTTATTTTATTTGTTCTTTTTAGATATACATGACAGTAGAATGTATTTTGGCATGCATACATAGAGTATAACTTATTCTAATTAGGATCCTATTCTTGTGATTGTACATGATACGGAGTTACCCTGGTTGTGTATGTTCTTTTAATTAATGGATAGTCATGGAAAAGAAGCTCAAGCACCAAAAGGCCAACTGAAGTTCAAGTTCTTCTATGATGAGCTCTGGTCATTCCTCTGCCCATTAATCTGAATTCTCAGAGCTCTTGTACATACTACTAGTAAGGCCCTTGCCACAGCCTGCTCCACAGATACTAATGGATTCAAAGCTTCCTCTAGTATAATAGCCATGATTTTTACTCAGGACGCTTTATAATGTTCTGTAAATGCCAGCTAATGATAAGATTATTTAAAATGTTCCATTCTCGTTCTCCTTTCAAACAATTTCTTTCTCAGCTTATCCTGAGTTTACCCCCAAGGTCTCAGACACTGAGGTCTCTGCAACAATGACTTATTTATTTCTGAAATCCTTGCCCTTGGCTCAAAGTGAGTGGCATCTCATGACTCAGCTTTGCCAACTCTTCATAGACCTGGGGAGACTGTCTCCTTTCCTCAGAACTTTGTTTTCTGGACAAAACAAAGTGCAGTGATGACTGTTCTCATGGGGATTTAGAAGAATTTAGTTTTATTACCAATTAATGCATAAGCAAATCTCATGGAGGATTACTGATGGATTCCATTTTAAAATTTAATCAAATCTGGAGACTCAAAAAGAGAACAATTCTCAACATTATGCTAGACATGACTGATCAATCATAACACCTTTTCTGTTGATGTTATATATGGCTTCTGAATCTTTTTCAACATATTACACCAGGTAAAAACTATCAATCCCTCAGTCTACATAGGAGATGAAACTTGTTTTAATGTCCCAGATGTAGTTCAAAGTTGTTATTTGCTTATAAGACCCAAAGAGCAGTAGTGACTTAGTAATGAACTGAAACCAGAGCTCAGGTTTTGATCCCCCTCACTTTCAGTCCCAGGTTTCACTTACATGTTTACTCTTCTTCAATAGTCATTCAAATCTTAGAATTTACTTTCTATTCAGTGTTAAATACTTAATGGTATTTAACATATACAATTAAAAATCATACCATGCATGCTTTGGCTTTATCAAAAAGATATTTGATATATAAATCTTAGCAAGAGAGAGAGAGAGAGAGAGAGAGAGAGAGAGAGAGAGATCTCTATGCTGCACTTGTATCCTGCATAAGTCCTAATTCTGTATCTGATACTTGGTAGGTTTTCAATGTAAATTCTCTTTTATATATCAACTGTACAAATGAAATAAACAGAAGGTCTATATTTAAATTCTCATGAGAAATCACTGAAAAATCCTACCTTCTTGTATTTAAGTAGTATTTGTTTGAAAGCATTCTATGTCATTATTATGGTTTGGATATGAGGTGTCATCCCAAAATCTCATAAAATAGAAAATGCAGGGATATTCCAATGTGAAATGAATAGATTATGAGAACAGTAACCTAATTAGTGGATTAATCCCTTTGATGGATTAATAATTTGAATGGATTACTGGAAGACTCTAACTATAGGCATGTAGGACATGGCTGCAATAAGTAGGTCACTGGGGACAAGTCCTTGGGGAAAGGTATTTGGTCCCTGGCTCCTTTCTCTCTGCTTTCATCTGTCATGAGCTGAGCAGTGTTCCTCTGCCATACCCTTCTAGCATGATGTTCTGAATGACCTCAGGCCCAAAAGCAAGGGAGTCAGCTGACCACATGTTGAATCTAGAAACTGTGAGTCCAAAATAAACCTTTTCTTTTCTAATTTTTTTGTTGTTGGGTATTTTGGTTACAACAATGTATTCATCATGACAGTCATGATATCACATCTTTTCATTCTTTTTTTTTTTTTAAGAATGACACCAAAATGCTTAAATAAATTTCTATTTCACCTGAATATTTTTAGGAAAATAAATTATTACATAAATGACTGGATTTCCCATTGATACTTCTACTTTAAATTCAAAGGGTAACATTGTGGTTTGAGTCTCAAAAGTGTGAGAAATGATATCTTTTCTTTTTGTTTTTCATTGTGATACCTGTTGACCATAACTTGTGGTTTTGTGTTATACTCAAAAGCCACAATTTTTAGGATGCAAAGGCAAAGGAAAGACATGAAGAAAAAGAGAAATAGGAAGAGAGAAGGTAGAGTGTTATTTTATAATACATTATAATACAAGTATTGCCCCTTCAAAAAATAGATTTCAAAAGCCGAGAAAGCTATAGCTAACACCACACTTAATGGTAGACTGAATTCTTTCTCTTAAGATTAGGAGCAAGACAAATGGCAGCTGTTGCCACTTCTTTCCAACCTTGTATTGGAAGTTCTAGTCAGAGAAATTGGTCAAGAGAAAGAAACAAAAATCATTCATATTGGAATGAAGGAAGGAAAATTATCTCTTTTTTTTCATATGACACAATTTTGTGTATAGGAAATTCTTGAGGAATCTACCAAAAATCTATTAGAACAAATGAATGGGTTCATGAAGATTGCAGGATATGAGATTAATACAAAAACTATGTTTCTACATATTTTCAATGAACAATCTAAAAATGAAATTAAAAATACTTTACATACAAGAGAATGAAATTGGAACCCCAACACTATCCATATATAAAAACTAACTCAAAATGGATCTAACACCTAAACATAAGAGCAAGAACTGTACAACTCTTAGAAGAAAACATGACATAAATTTTATGTTTAAAAATCATTGAATCTGGAGACTGTAAAAAGAGAAAATTCCCAACACCGTGGTAGAGATGACTAATCAATCATAACTGTTTTTTCTGTTGATGTTATATATAGCCCCAGAATCCTTTTCAACATAGAACTTCAGGATTAGGCAATGGTTCCTTAGATAGCACATCAAAAACACAAATAACAAAAAGAAAATTAAATAAATTTAACTTAGTTCAAAAATTTTAAAAAAACTTGTGTCTCAAAGGACACTATCAAAAGTGTAAAAAGACAACACAGAGAATGTGAATAACTATTTGAAAGGCATTCGTCTGATGAGGAATTAATGACCAGAATATATGATGTACTTCTACAAATCAGTAACAACAACAAAACTCCAAATCTAAAAATGGGCAAAGGACCCAAATAGACGTTTCTCAAAGATATACCCATAGCCAACAAGTACATGCAAAAATTCTCAATATCAACAGTCATAGGGAAATACAAATCAAATCACAATGAAATACCACTTCATATTAATTAAGATGACTATGCAAAAAAGAAATACAATGGTAAGTATTGGTGAGGATGGGGGGAATTTGGAACCCTCATACACTGCTGGTTGAAATGTGAAATGGAAAACACTCTGACAGTTCCTCAAAATGGTAAGCCTAGAGTTATCATATTGCTGATACCAGCAATTTAACTCAGGTATAGATTCAACAGAAATAAAAACATATGTCCACATACATTTTTTACACAAATGTTCATAGCAGTATTATCCATAATAACTAAAAGTCAGGAACAACCAAAGGATAAATGGATATATTAAAAGTATTTCCACATGATGGACTATTATTTGGCAATAAAAAGAAATGAAGTACTTATTTGTACAACAACACAAATGCAACTTGAAAACATCATGTAAAATGAATGAGTAGGCACAAAAGACCTTATGGTATATAATTCCTTTTGTATAAAATATCTATAGGCACATTTTTTGTCTCTAGACAGAAAGTAGATTAGTGGTTGCCTATGGCTGGATGGGGAAAGGAGGTTGGGGGAAATGGAAGTGACTTAATCAATGCAGGATTTCTTTATGCAGTGATGAAGTACTCTAAATAGACTGTTATGATGGTTGTACACTCCGAATATAACTCAGTTAGTTGTATGATACGTAAATTTTATCTCATGAAAGCTGTTATATTAAAAAGATGTACTGTGTGTGATTCAATATTTTAATTTTGGAGATTTGTTAATTCTCTCCTTTTCTATGTCTGTCACAACAATCCACATATTCACTTAAATGACCCATGTGCATATTTCCATGACCATTGTCTTAACTTTATAATGTGTAACAAATCATACATGTTTTCTAATAAGCGGATACCTTTTATGAAATCCCACCTTTTAGAACGTTAATTTTAGAAAAGTAAAGTCATGAAAACTGCAGTGTTTTCTTCTTTACTGCAGTCATTACCTCACCTCCATCAACACATCATTTCTGAGAACCACTAGCTTTACCCTCTGTATTTAATATATTCACCATAAATTCATTTTATAAGAAATGGCATTGTTACTTTTAGCAATACATTTGTAACAGTGTTATACCATCTAGTGGTTCCATAATTTATTTGCTGCCATAAATCTAAATCTTAATTATCATTAAATCCATGGCAACTGAGAGAACTTTATGTTTGCTTCATTTTGTACCTACCCCTTTTGAGTCAATCACTCCAGGTTTTGCATTAAACTTCACTGTCTTCAATCGGGCACGTTCTTTTCTTTCCACCCTAAAGAAAAGGGGAAAATAATGAGTCTATCATATGACAAGGCATTTATGATTAAGAACACCTTATCCTTATTCTTACAACTCAAGTAAAACCTATTTTAAAATATTTCTCTTCCTTTGTTTAGTATAAAAATCTTGGTATAAAGTCTCCAAGCTTCTAGTATAGCCCTTGAAAATTTTATGTTACATGGGCTGAGAGTCACAGTATTTGGAAGAAACAAAGAGGGAGAAAAAAAGATATTTATTATTTTAAATGTTTAAGTCAATCAATCAAAATCTATTTCAAGAAATTGCAGTCCATAGGGACAAACACCTAAAATGAAGATGAAATGAGATTTACTCCCCTTCCTTTCTTCTTTCTTTTTCCTTCCCTTCCTGTAAGAATATTACTGTATTTAGCTTCATTTGATAATCAAATACGTTATGTACAATCTTGAATTTTTTTTTATCAAGAAGCCCAATATTCTGTTGCTTCTGTGGATTTATCCTTTTACCCACCACTTTACTCATTCATTAAACATTTTTTGAGTGTCTAACATGTACTAAAGAGGAGTTGGAGAACAAATAAAAATATTTTAAAAGCATGACTGCAATGATCCCTTGGCAAACACAGAGATGTAAACAAGGAATGATACTTTTCTTCAGTAAGACTATTGATATTCAGTGGGTGCATTCATCTCATTGGGAAGGTGAAAAGGGGTGGAAAGCATTGGGATGAGCTTCTTTCTTGGAGAAGGAGTTAATTCATGGGGGACTTTAAGAATGAGAAAGCTTATCCGGGAATTTCCAGACAGGAGGAATGGCAATGCTCTAGAAGATAGCAGGAAACTGTGGTATGCGTATGAGTAACAGGATGTGGAGGAGAAGCCCAGGTGGTGGGTCTCTTGAAATGGTCTGAATCCACTTCGAGGACTGAGGTTTTTCCTTTTAGGAATCCTCATGAGTTATTAGTGGTCATAAAGTAAGGAAGTGATACAATTAAATTAATATTTTAAATGAGCCTGGTATATGTGGAATATAGGCTGGGGAAGTAAAAAATAGGAGGAGGCTAGGGGGCCTATTTAGGAGCTTTTTTCATAGTTAGGAAAGAAATGATAAGAGGGAAGGGCTGGAGAAGTACAAGGAAAAAGTATTGATAGGACTTGTGCATATTTCAAGGTTAGAAATGAAAGGGAAGCGACATATATTTCCTGATTTTTCTGAGTTTCTTCAGCTTGACATGAACCTTGCTTCCTCCAAGCTACAATGGCACTTAATTTAATATCTATGTCAATATTATTTCCAGATTTTTCTGTTTAGTTTTGCATTGCATATAGGTTGTATGTTCCTGAAGGGGAAGACTGTACATATATCTCATTAGCATATTATAGCAAGGGCATAATGAATATTTGTTAATCAAAAATAATATCCAATGCATTGGGGTAACATGATTTTGTTGTTGTTGTTGTTTAAATTCAGCTAGGCTTAATTTCATTTTTTTCTGTTTGGGGAAAGAAAATAAGGGCAAGGGAAGAAAAGACCCTGAATCTATAGGAACTTAATGGTTTATGAAGCTAAGCAATTCATAAATCAATAATTAACAGCGTATTCCTTTCCAACTGAGAGTTCTTTTGTGTTTCCAGCTGAAACGCAGTAAAGATCAGGGTTTCCATGGTTACAGAATAAAGTTTCAGAATACATTTATTTCAGTTTGAGTGTAGAGTATTTGAGTGGAAACAGATGAACAACATTTTTCAAATCTAACCTTAGGTATTAAAGCAATATGTTCCACTGAGAGTTTCTACTTGAACCCAACATACAACAGTTAGGAGGAAAGTAAGAACAATTTCAGATAAGCTAACTTGCCAAATGCTCATTGGGAAAAAGCCTATTCTGAACTTCATTAGTTTTTCTCTTTTAATCCAAGTGCAAATGATAATTCATATTCATCTCTTTTGTAGTCTTCTAAAAATGTTGTGAGAGTCCTGATTTTATTCTGGCTACTTAGAATTAACTAGGCAAACGATGGGAATTACTAATTCATTTGATGCTGCCAAAATGACTGTAGCACGTGGAGAAGAATGGTTGTTTGATCATATTATGCAAATAAATTCTGCAGAAACTCAAAGAAGTCACACAGTCCCCAAATATACATAATATAAGCCTGAATTCAAACCTAAGAATTATTTGGACAGAGCATTCTATTTCTCTCCCTAAGGTTTATCCTTTTCCATTGTCTTGATGTCCCTACTAGGCCAAATAATACTGGTTCATCACTTAAACCTTAAAAGGTTGGCAAAGAATATTGTCAGACACAAAGGCACCCACAAATTCACATCCCTATGTTAATAATAAACCATAGTGAATATGAGGTTAATCTTCAAGCAGTTAACAGGAAAGGAAAACAAAATTTTGAAAGCTTATTCAGGTAAAAGTTTTGGTTCACTCATGAAGGAAGTCGGAACACTTTTGCTTTTTATTTGGGTGCAAAGTTGCAGGAATGATGATAATGTAAATGGTAGCTAAAGTTTTAACAACTTTACCAGTGGAATTTCCTTCACTTTTATATCATCTCATTTGACACCCATAGTGACCCAGTTATGTAGGTATTATCAACTCCATTTTATGGCTGAGAGAGCTCAGACTTGAAGCTTACCAGACTAGAAAGTGGTAGAAACAAGCTGAACATGATCATGGGTGTCTCTCCACAGCCACTCAGTTTGGGACAAACAGTACTCTAGGACCTTCCATGCCTGACTTAGGGGAAATTCTCAAAAAAAAAAAAAATAAAAAAACCCCCAAAAAACATGAGGTTTGGGGGTGGGTCATTCATAGGATTAAGACCCATACATACCCTTAGAAGTCTAGACTGAATTTTTGAGAAATGATAAACATCCCCTTCCTTTGTATTCCCCATCACCCAGATGTTCTGAATTATATAAACCACAACAAAATTTAAAGTATATAATCATTGAGCACCATACCGAGCTGGCCTCAAAATTCAAAATAAATTTGCTTTGAACACTGAAGGCAGCTTAGCTAAATGCTCCTTTGCAAATTACATCACACATACTGAATTGGTCTTCCACCTTACCATTCCAGTAACCAGGATTTTGATTTTCCACTACAAAGGCCTATGGTAAATGCCTTTGAGGGTTCTTTGCAAACCTCTCTTTTTGGTGGCAGTGTATTTCCCTCAACCCCTTAATGGCCACTTTAGCCCCTAACTCTCTCTCCTAGCTCTTCCTGGGATATGGATAGTTTACTGCTAAAGTAAGAATTAAGGATCAGAAATAAAACCTTAAATAATGTGGTGTAATTTTCTCTGGCACCAGAAGCTCAAAATCTTAAAAAAAGGAAAATAGCTGTCATTTAAGCAAACACAAAGTATTTGAAACTGTGCTAAGCACTTTACCTATTTTATCTGTAATCTGTACAATGGTCCAGGACTTGACATGGAGCTGGGCATGCAGTAGGAGCTTAGAGAATCTTGATTGAATGAATGAGTGAATAAATTCTCAAGGAGGCTATTAGTTCTTTATCTAGATGTGAAAACTAAGGCTCAGACAGGTTAAGGGACTTGCTGAATAACCACTGTTTCCTACAAAAAGTTGTTTACTGTTTCATAACTTTTTCTCTTAGTAAGAATCTTGGTAAAAATTTAGCATCACATTCTCTAATTGTTACAATAAGTATGTTCCCTTTGGAAAAAAATTGATATTAAGGTTTAACAGTTTATAGAAATAGTGAGACCACCTGTATACACAGACTGCAATGAGAACCACTGCTGTACTTTTCTCCTGCACTTAGACTCAAGCAATTAATTAGATTGTTTAAGCAGAAATAATTCTCCCCGCCTTAGTCTTGCCTCTGACCAAAATTCTAAAAACAAACTGGCTGGCAAAATTTGAGCAATCAATTCTGACACCTAGCATCTCCAGATAGCACCAAATGGTCATACTTTAATGAGCCCAACTGTCTCCCTCTCCCTTTTCCCTATCTCCCATCTGGTATTTTCAGGTTCCAGCCAATCACATAATTGGGTCAGGTTTGGAGAACAGTATAGTGGGAACATGATTTGTCACTGGGAGTTCCTGTGCTCCACAGGCCCTGTCAGAGGGAGAATGAAATACCATCCATGTCAGTAGCCACAGGTTTGCTGTGAAGGCCAGGTGAGCGAACTCTTATGTAATGCTAGACCCAAGCTGTCGTCCAAGAGCTCAGGGGAACAGTCACAGTGGAACAATGAACAGACACCTGGATTCAAGAGACTGTGAGATAGATCATGGTTTGGCTACTCGTAAGCTATGTGAACTTGGAAAACAGAGATTCTATTCTAAAAGTCTAGCTTTTGAAGTTACGCCAGCTGGGTTTGAATTTTATCTCTGTCACTCACTGGGTCTGTGACTTAGGGCAGCAATTCAGCCTTTCAGGAACTTAGTTTTCATGTTGGCAAAAGAGTAACAAAGACTTCAAAGATTATGGTAAATGTTCAATGAGACAATACAAGAAAATTGTTTATAACAAGTTCTGATACATAGAACAACAGGCTGCTGCTAAACTGATTGTGATAATTCCATTCATGAAGTCACTTGCCATCTATACTCACAGTGTCCTTACCTTGTGAAAGGGAGGTAACACAGATGCCCTGCCTCAGGGGCTCACTGTTATGGTCAGCCCCTCCCTGTGTGAGACAAAAGCACGGGCTTCCTTTTCTTCCTATGAGGGGATCCTCATATGTGCCACCAGACTTGAGAGCTGCAAGGACTAGGAGGAGCTCACACCTTAGCAGGTACTCATAGAGGTATAAGAAAGGTGTTTGTTTGAATCCTGGCTTAGCACTCTGCTGCCAGCATGGTTTTGGCAGGCAACTTGAGTTCTCTGAAACTCCATTTCCATAATTGGAAGTGTTCCTAAAATAATGCTCCTGGTATAGTAGAAAGTCATCCAGCATTGCTACCAGAGAGACCTGTGTCCAGCCAGGGCCTGGCTGTGCATCTTAGGGCAAGTTATTTGGTTTCTCTGACCCTATTTCCTTAAAAGGCTTTCCTTAAGATTAAATTGAAACCACATATTTGAAAGCATCTGGCATAAGACATAGTGCTATATTTTGAATGTTCCCACCAGTACTCAGATTGAAATTTAATCACCATTAAATTATGGTGATCTTAAGGACTGACTGGGTTATGAGGACCCTGCCCTCATGAATGATCTTTAAGGTATGATCTTTAAGGTCTGACTGGGTTATGAGGACCCTGCCCTCATGAATGGATTAATGCAATGATGTACTAGTAGATTAATGGGTTATCATGAGAGAGGGTCTGTTATAAAAGGCAATTTGGTTCTCTCCTATCTGGACCTTCTCATCACATGATACCCTGCAAAGCCTTAGGATTCTGCAGAGTTTCCACAAGCAAGAAGATGTTCCCTAGATGTGGTCCCTCAACCTTGGACTTTCCAGCCTCCAGAACTGAAAGCTAAATGAACCTCTATACTTTTTGAATGACCTAGTCTATGCTATTCAGTCATAAAACCTCCACTACCACCACCACCACCACCATCAACAACAACAACAACAAAAACCCAAACTATGACATATCTGTGCTACTATCAGATAGAATTTATCCCTCCATCTACTGCTTTTTCACTTCCCTTGGTACCCTTACAAGAGAGCCCTCATTATCTTAGTTCAGAATAGCTGTGGCACAGTTACATTAGTCTCATAAGTGGTAGACTCCAGGCAGTGCTCCTGTAACAGCAATTGGCATATAGACACTGCCCAAGCAATGCTTACTGAATTTCAATTTTGTCAACTCTTATTTTTCCACCTTTGGGAGGTGATATTGCAAATGAGTTAAGAGCAATTCTAGCCTCAATTCAAACCCCAGTCCTGCCACTTGGTAGATGGGCAATTTCAGGCAAATTAACCTTTTTGTGCCTTAAAGCCTTTCTTCCTCATTTGTAAAATGGGGATAATAATAGCATCTTACTCTTAGGGTTGTAATGAGGTTTAAATAAGTCAATAAGCATAAAGGACTTCAAATAGTGGTAGCATGCTATTGGAGTATTTTACTAAATACATTTATTCATCATCTTCAAAAAAGGATAGGAGGGATGACAATGTTGATATTCTTCGCATTATATTTTTATTGGGGTGATTAAATGGAATCATCAACATCATTACATTTTTGTAAGAAATGAAGACATATACAGATGCTATCCATTGTGAAATATATCCAGACCAGCTCTGCTAATTGAAATATACTCAGGAACTAGGATAAAAAGGAATTAGGAGTTAAAAACAATCTAATACATTTATTTAATTTCAAATTGCTCTAATATTAGTATATGAGGATTCTGTATGAGATAGGATTTCTACTTCCTTTCTCATAGTTTTCTAAAGTTTCCTACTTTTCTATACTGAGATCTAACATTTTTATAAATACATAAAACAGTGACAATAACTTTTTGAAAAAAATTAAAATCCTAAGGAGAAAGTCTGTTAGAAATTCAGTTATAAATTTTACATAAAATAAACATAAATACATATATACTTAAATAAATAGGTATATTTTATTTTATAAAAACACATGTTGGGGCTGGGGTTGTGGCTCAGTGGTAGAGCACTTGCCTAGCATGTGTGAGGCACTGGGTTCTATTCTCAACACCTCATATAAATAAATGAATAAAATAACATCTAAAATGAAACAAAACATAACACCACATACTTACATAAAATAAAATAAACATAGTTGTGAGGTAGTATTACTGCATCCTTCATGAAATAGAATGGAAATAAATGTCAATATTACAGATGCTGGACAAACTTCTTCAGCCCAGCATCAGTGTACTTGTTAAGTTGGTTTTATCCAAAGTATGAGAGAAATAGCCAATTCAAGAACAAGAATGGGAAGTTAAACTCCATGTATGTATAATATGTCAAAATACATTCTACTGTCATGTATAACAAAAAAACCCCACCAAAATTGGAAAAAAAGAACAATCAACAGCAGATGGAAAATTATTTCAAGAGGAATAACACTGAAATGGTCCTCAGGAGAAAAATGAGTAAACGAACAAATGGGTGACTTCTGACATATTAGTTAGACTCACAGAACCTCAGGATTGAAATGGGCCTGACAATCACATAGTTCAATTCTCCCATCCAGAATTTAAATCCTTTTTATATCTTCCCATGTGGTTCCTGCCACTTCTAGGCAGTTACAAGTAGTGGAAGGCTTTCTAGAAAATGAGCTGAAGTCTATTCCTCCATTAGCTTTCTTTCCTCCACCCCATTTCTATCCTTGGGGTTATATTCAATAAGATCACCGCTTTCTTATAGAGAAGAGCTCTTCAGACATCTCTGATTATGTCAAAGCAACCCCAAAAGCATGTTTAACATTTTTAAACATTTTTTTTAAAAAATGAAAACAATTACTAAGAGTCACTGCTTTGAATATAGCCTTTCAGTAAACACTACAAGCCATACTACAAAGTTAGAATACCCTGGCCAAGCAATGATAGGAGCGATACTACAAAGTTAGAATACCCTGGCCAAGCAATGATAGATGCTTAAAGGTAGGCAAAGGCCTGGAGGATGGCAAAGCGTCCTGGAGTTTCCATCACTTCACTGTAACACCATCCTCCCTGGCATTCCTCCCTGGGGGCTGTGTGGCCACAGGCAGAGATGAGAACTGTCTTCCCTGGGTCATGAGAGAGTTGCTCTGGAGGTATATAATTTACAATTTTTCACTGTGGTTTGTACTAGCTCCATCATTATATCACTTTGGTGCAGCAGCACTGAATATTCAGTTTCACTGGGGAGTTTTCATAAAGGTATGTTGGGGTTTTGGACATAAGAATGCGAGCTCTTAGGGGGCTGGGGTTATGGCTCAGTGGTAGAGCGCTAGCCTTGCATGTTCAAGGCCCTGGGTTCAATCCTCAGCACCACATAAAAAAAAAAAAAAAAAAAAAGAATGAGAGCTCTTAGAAAAACCCACAGACTGAAAAAAAAAAACAAAACACAAAACTGATGACTGCTTTGAGCAATCATCATTCCTGATTTTGTACCAAATCTATTTTCGAAGAGTCAATTTTTGTTTCTTGCTCAACATTTTGCTGCCAAAAGGACACCTGTGGGGAGAACAGTTCTCTAGTGGCGATGATTAGAATCTGCTAGGACAGATGCAGGCACTGGCTGTTCTGGCATATTTCTGTCTTGCAAAAGTAGAGCTGAAGAAATGTTTGCAAGGGAAAGGGCATCAAGAAACACTTATACAGAAATAAATATCTAAGTGACTGTTGGGAATTGTGGGGTGGGGAATATTACTAACCAAAACAATGAAAAATAAAAAAGAAACAGCTATAAACTGAATCATTAGACTTTACCAGGTATTTGGCATCTTATATCCTAAATATTTGCATTTGAAGGTTTTCTGGTTTTTTTCATCAATATTTAAAGATATTACATAGCCAGGGACTTAGTTTAAAAAATCATCTACTTTATTTGTCTTTCACTGTTTGTAAAATTCATTGGTAAATGCTGAACATCTGGAATAAACCTACTGAGTTGGTAAGTCAGCATACAGGCTGGTGAGCATAACCTTGCACCTGCAGAGAGATGCTGGGAAAAGTTTGAGGAACACAGTGTAAGCAGATCTTCTTTTTTTCCTTTATGCCTTGTCACAGTTACCAATTTTGGTAAAATCCTAATATGAGGAAAATGAGATTTTTTTTTATTCATGTCACCTGTCACCACTGACAATTTTCCTTCAGATTGTCTATCCTACTTAAATAGTTATTTTGTGAACAGTTTCCTCCATCTTCCTCTTCCTTCATTTCCACGCCCTCTTTAGCTGAAGAGCTAATATTCTAATGTATGAAAAGCATTCTTACCTCCGTTTGCTAGGGATGACGCCCATCTCCTCGCTGTCTCCCTCCAGCGTGACTCTTCTGGCTTGCCACCACTCATCATCAGAGGCATTGATAACATGGAGAATATCTCCGTATTTAAAGCTAAGTCCTTGACTTGGCAGCCCACTGTCTTTGCTCTTGTCATAGTCAAACATGGCTCTGAGAGAAATGACAGAAGAGGGCATGGTTAGGAATCTCTGATAGTATGGATTTAAAATTCATGTTCTTGAATTTTCACGCCTTCCCTGAGAACCCATAATCTTTTGATCTCAACCTGCAGGATGACAGACTACATTCCCATTGCTTTGGCTACAGATGGAGGTTAGTTCTTGCTTCTCCTTAGGGATTGCAAGGGCAGCTTAGAGGTCCCTGAATGTTTAAAATGCAATAAGTGACTATATATATATATATATATATATATATATATATATATATATATATAGATACACACACACACACACAGATCTGTTTATGTATGAGTTATAGTAGACCAATTTCATATTAACAACCTCATAAATCATTCTTTTTGCTATGAAGATTTTTATTTATTTATTACAAATCATTTTGCTTCTGTAAAATGCCAAGCCTGTATCATCACTGTACTTATCACTCCGAATTATGATACTTGCTGTCTGTATCATGTCTCTCTCACTAAAGAGCTTTTACTGAACCTTCACTAAGGCCAATGCATTGGCATTTTATGACTGGTGGGTGCGTGGATTGGAAGCAGAAACACAATGGTGAACAGAACCTTTCTTAAGCTGTTGTCTTAAGGAGGTGACAATTTATTGCAAGACCTATATTGCCTTCATCCTTTTGTATCCCACACTCTCAAAATCACTACCACACATGTACAGTGCATGATTTCCCAGGAGAAGCAGATTTCACCACCTCCCTATTTATTCCTTTGACTTCATTCTAAGAATTTTCTTGGCCTGTGACTACAATTCAGGTAAAACAAGCTAGATTTGGAGAATAAATTTTTCTAAAATCATTGAGAACCAAGAGTAGTTCTTTTCTTTCTTATTTTCCCCTCCTATTAAGGAATTGTCACATGTGCTATCGTAGAATCCAAAAAGGGCCCAAAGACAGTGTTTATTTCTTAAATACTACAGAAGTTGAATTATAATACAGCCCTTCTTCCATTCCTAAGTGATGAAATTCAAAGAGTTTCCAAGGTCTGAGCTCCAGAAAAAAAAATTATTTCCACTTTGATTATTTCCATTTTCCCTGCCAAAGGCTCAGACAAAGCCTTAGCCAAGAAAAGGGGTTGGAGGGTGACAGAGACCTGCTTCTCATGCTTCACTTCTCTGGCTATCTGATATGACAAACTAAGTAACATTGCTTAATCACAGAGTTTTTGATACAAAATCACTCCAACAACCACATTCTAATAGAGCTGCCAGTAGGTAGGTGCACTGTAGCAGAGGATAGCATAGCAGATAGGGCCACACAGGTGGGGCCATGTCCTGGTTCTACTCTCACTAGTCATTCAGCTGGTTACTTGGGCAAGGTATTAAACCTTTCTGGGGCTTCAGTTTCCTCATATATAACATGGTGGTGGTGGTGATGATAATAGCACCTCCAATACAGAGTTGTGTGGTTACAGGAGGTAATCTATGTAAAGTATGTATCACAGTGCCTGGCACAGAGTGATAACCAGTATGTATGAACTACTTTTCCCTTTTGAGTGTATACTAATCAAAATCCTTTCCATAGATTCCACTTTGTGCAAAAAAGAGTTAACAAAGCAGGCCTGAGACTGCTATCTGTAAGAAGGACCTTTTTGCAATGGTGCTCTTTGGCTGACATCTGGGTACTTAAGATTTTGGGAGGGTTCCCACTAGTTCTTGACAAGAATACCTTATGTGCCTAAGCTATACAAACAATATTGTTATGCTGAACACCTACTTTCCTCCTGGGAGTCTGGAGTTGTGGTATGTTCCAGGAGGAGGGTGCCTATGTGACCAGTTTCCAGTAAAAACCCTGGACCCTGGTATCTGATGAGCTTCACTGGCAAACAACATTTCACACCTGCTCTCCCAGCTTTTTGATGGAAGGAGTAGGCATGTTCTATGTGCCTCCATTGAGAGAGGAGTCTTGGAGGCTCACACCTCATTTCCTGTAGACTTTGTCCCAGGATCTTTTCCTTTGTTGATTTCACTTTATATCTGTTTGTTGTCATAAACCATAGTAACAAGTCTGTGTTGAATCCTGTGGAAGCTTGTAGAGAACTGCCAACCCATGTGTTGTTGTGTAGAACCCAGCACACATTCTTCAGACTGCAAGCAATTTTACATACGCTCCCTTGCAACTTGACCCATTCCTGTGAAGAAGGTATGAAAGGGAGTACCATCCCCTTTTTACAGACGAGGGAGGCCGACTGACTGACCCCAGGATACAGGGCTGTGTTTAGTGGCAGCAACCCAGGGCTGGGATTTGAGCCTCCAGACCTAAGTTACACTTCAGTGCTCTTTACCTTGTTCCCCATCCAACCTGGGAGGAAGGAGGTGGTGATGGTGACTGAGTGATAAAGATGACAGATATAATGACAACCATTGCTTGTGATCTTATGAGGCAGCCTGGCAGTTTGTTGTTACTTTTATTTTTGAAATCATAACAACTTTAAGAGGAAAAGTTAGTATCTCTGTTTTGTAGATGACGAGCCTAGAGGAGTCTAAAGGAGTCTAAAGAGGCTAAGGGCCCTGCCCCAGGTCACATGTTGGAGAGACTGAATATAAAATGAAGTCGGACTCGAAAACTACTTTTATGGCCATTTTATTATATTGCTCAATTTCCTAGACTGTTGCCCTCTGGCCATGCTCCATGACCTAGCTGTAGAAAGGATCTTAAATCTTTCCTTCAGAGCTAACTACCTCTTTAAATTTGTGAAGGTCCCTCACTCCTTAATTCTTATCCCAGAATTTCTTATCCTAAAAGTACTGGAACTGCTCACTTGGTTCCAAGCTCCTGGATGTCAAGTGAGAGGAGTGGAGATAGAGAAGCCATCAGGAAAGATGGCATGTGGTGCCAAGAATGTAGGCTCTAGGGCCAGACTGCCTGGGTTTTAAAACGTGCCATCTTGAACAAATTATGTAACCTCTCTGGGCCTCAAATTTTCTTCACTGTAAAACTGGCAAAATAACAGCTACCTCAAAGAGTTGTGGTGAAGATTAAATGAAATAATAAATGTGAAGTTCTGCAACACCAGTTTGGCCCCAGTGAATACTCAATACATGTTTTCTGGACTGTATGTAAAGACATCTGAAGCACCTCTCTATCTTTAGGACCCAGTACGACACAGGGCCCATGCAGATCCTCAGTATGGTCTATGAAAATGTTTCAGATGACTACTGTAAGGATGAGAGGGGGAGGAGTGCTCCTGGAGGTTTTTACCAGATTATTCATTCATTGAGTGTGCTCCATTGCTCCCAAGATTCCTGAAGGGGAACCCCCACTCCTGTCTCTAGCAATGGATATCCTTTTGGAGAGCTCAGCAGCATGCTTTTGCATGGGCTCTGTTTATCTTGGACAAACTGCCCCTCTAGTATTACACAGATTAAGACCTGTCAGGTTCCTAAAACCAGGCAGCTGACACATTTCAGCAGCTTCTGGCTCCTTTGGATATTAATGGAGCCCCACGTCTGGGAAAAATGCTGTAGTGCCCCATCACCTAATTTAAAAAGCGATAAGCTGTTTTTAATTTGCTTTATGTGCTAATTCATCACAGTAACTTTTATAAAATGCCATTAAGACTCACACTTTCCACCCAGGGTGCTTTTAACAAGTCCATTAGACAAGTGGAATTTGACACAAACAATGCAATGTCTTTCCCAGCCCTCCTGCCCCTCCTGAATTTTAGTGTGTGGTAGCTCATTGCCAGCTGGGGATGTCTAGGAAGAGTGAAGTAGATGCTCGTCCTCATGGCTCTGTTACATGGCTGCAGATACCTGGATGCCCTACTTAATAGCATTTTACTAGGGTTCCACAATGTGTTGAGCATTTTGTATTGTTTCATTCATATCACTGGGTAGGCAAGATAGCATATGAGTTGTAAGCCAGGCTTCTGAGACAGAAGAGACCTGGGCTTAAGTCCCAATCCATCATTCCTAGCTGTGATCATCTATAGGTGGCCATTCTCTCAACTAGGAAATGCAGATACTGATAACATTAACTTACTAGATTGTTGTGGAGATACAACAATGAGATCATACATTCAGAGTGCCCAACACAGAATGAATTTTGCTATTATATCAGGCAGCAATCCTGCCATGTAAGCATTTTGTAGTCTTGAAGGAATTGAGACTAAAAAATTTTAAGAAAAGGCTAGATAAGTGATAGAATCAGGATTCAAGTATAGAAAGATGTGTCTGACTCAAAAGCTCATGCTTCTGACCTTAGAAATCCTTGACAAGGAACATTTTACCTGGATCTCATTCCAAAGGCTTTCATGATTTGGTGATAATATGGACTAGGTTGCAAGAGGGATGAGTATTTCACTGAATCCACATTCAGTTCTCACAACTGTGATGCCTATATTAGCCTTCTGCTACAGATGAGGAAACACTGACTTGGCTAATTTCAGCAATATGTTGTGCTGCATTAGCTACCAAGCGTATATGGAGCAAGACTTAACCTGAAAAACCTGCCTGTCACCACAAACTGTAAATTTTGGGCTACACTAGTCCATTTTTGTTGTTGTTGTTTTGCAAGCAACCTTCTGTAATCCCAAACACTCATATTTTCTTCTCGAGCTTTGACTTTAGTAATAGGTAATAATCATAAATTATAAATAGTACTGGTGTTTTCTAAGTTGGTTAAAGCTGGGATGGTAGAGAATGACAAGGGTGAGAGAACTACAGGGACAGCATCACTCTGACCAGCAAAAATGATTTGATGTGTCTCATGATTACAAATGATAGGATAGAAAGAATAATGTCCCTAATCCAACTTCTAGAGATGGCTATACTTTAACCTCCAGAACCTGTGAGTATATTACCTTATATAACAAAGGGTTTGCCAATGTGATTAAGGTTAAAGGTCTTAAAATGGGGAGGTTATACTTGATTATCTGGGTGGATACAAACTAAATGTATGAGTCCTAAATTGGAGAAGAAGGTAGAAGAGTAGATGAGAGGGATGTGACTTGAGAAGGACTT